TATATATATATATATATATATATATATATATATATATATTTGAAAGATGACATCTTGTATGAGAGTTTATTATATATAATTTCAAAACATCAAGAAATACAGTTTCAATACTAATAATTTTATTTTGTAAGAAATTTTCGCTGGGTTATGGATACCAGCATCATCAGCTTGTAAAATATTACAATAATTTTTAATCGTTATAGTTTATATAAAATTGTTACTACTGACGTCAGCGGTTGCATGGCTTCTTTTGATTTTTAAATTTTAAAAATGGAGTCCAAAACATAGTTTTTACATATTGGCCTTCATCAAGATTAATTTCGCCGTTTTGTGCAGAGCACATGTTGTTTTGTATTTCTAGTGCCTCTCTAAATTTTCTTTCAAACTTTTTATTTTCCACTTTTAATTAAAAAAAACAAAAAATCATAACTAAATCATGTTTTAAACGTCTGAGCTCAAGAGAATCCAAACCAAACAGCTGTAAATGGCTAAAATAACTTAAACACGGAAGATCAGTAATTTTTTTGTGAATCTTTTTTGAATATTTTTAGTAGATTTTATTTACATAGTTTGGTGTAGCCAAACTATGTAAATAAAATCTACTAAAAATATTCAAAAAAGATTCACAAAAAAATTACTGATCTTCCGTGTTTAAGTTATTTTAGCCATTTACAGCTGTTTGGTTTGGATTCTCTTGAGCTCAGACGTTTAAAACATGATTTAGTTATGATTTTTTGTTTTTTTTAGTTTTTTTTAGTTACAAAATTATACATAATTTGGTTTTTCAAAATTACCAATAATAAATATACCCGTGGTCATATTTATAAGATTCGCAAGCAACGATATCAACTCAATATTCGCAAACATTATTTTTCTCAACGTGTTGTGAATATCTAAAATAATCTGACAACAGAAGCTGTAAATGCTGATAACATTTGTATTTTTTAAAATAAAATAAAATCATGCAATTTCGATAAACACTGTGTGATGAATAAATGAAACCTTAAATGTTTTAATTATAAACTATATTTGTTTCATATATACTTTGTTATCTTATTTAGGGGCATATTGTCAGTATCCATTTATTGGACTTGTATGTCCTTTAGAACATGTAATTTTTAAGCTTGTTCTAATAAATCTTTTTTTATTATCATTAACTTTAATTATTATTGACTTAATAATAATAATAGATGGTTAAATTAAAAACCAATCAATAAAATTATAAAAAGGGATTTTTTAGAACTTTATTAATTGGTTTTTTCCACCCAAAATAAAGAAAGCAACAGCACAGAATTTTCGCTCCAATGTAAAATGTTAAATCTAAAACCTTTTATATGGAAACTGAATCATTCAAATTAGAAACAATGGAAAATTTCAAACTATCAATTGCCTTATAATGTGGTTCAAAAAAAAAAAAAAAAAAATTTTGTAAGGATTGCTTTAAGCTCTTAAACAATAAATGGGTCCTTAATATCACCCAAAAATGTGTTTCAAAAATAGGCAAACCTGGGTCTCAAATAAAATAACACATAAAAACTAGTAAATTCAGGGACACTTGTGACACCCATTTTGAACAATATGTATGAAATACAAATTTTTTTTTTAATTACACCTAAATGGTATTAAAATGATTCACCCAATGATAACAACTAAACTAATTAATTAATTATTCAAGTGCGTAAAACACGTTTTTTTAAATCAATTTATTCAACTAAAGTTTGAAAAATTAAAAATTTTTTACAATTTTTCAAAATTAGGTTAGACTTTACTCATATAGTTAAAAACTAGTCATTGGAGTGACAACTAAATAAAATAAACAAAGAAACAAAAAAAAAATCAGTATTAATATATAAAAATAGCAGTAAAATAGCAGTATTAATAAATAAAAGTAATTATTAAATGGTAAGTAATAATTTACAGTGTTACAGAATCATAAAATATTATGTGCAGAATTTATGCCGGTTATTTATCTAAAAATGAGACTTTTTGCAAACCTGGCCCTGGCAAAATTATAAGATTTAGCAAGAGTTGATAACCGGGGCTAAAAAAAAATTTATAATACTTACATTTACTATTTATTAAATACTGGCATATATTTATACATTTTTAAACTCAAACTTACTTCCAACAAGGTTGCAACCAACTACTATTAAGTTATGAGTTATTTTAAAATAGAAGATAGGGTTAAAAAGCTAGGAAATGGTTAACTGAAGACTTAAAAAGTTGTAGGATGCGTAAAAAAGGAAAACATGAAGATGGATAAGAGTTATAAAATTTTTATTTTGATGTGCAAGAAAAAAACTGGATTAATAAAAGTTTTTATAGCATAAATAGACAATTACCGTAAAAAAGTGCAACTTATTGAATAAGAAGCTAAGAATGAGTTTTGATTTATTTTAATAGAGATTTAACTAATAACTCGTTTGAGCATTGACTTTAATAGCATTTGTTGAAAAAAAAAATAGAGCCTTACAACAATTGGAGAGTGGCTCAAACTTGGCATATCAAACAGATCTAATTACATTTACAATGTGCTTTTAGACTTTGTTGGAGAGTAAGAGGGTTGCTGTTCAACAACATTGGAATGCCAACAAAATAGCAATATTTTTTTGCAGTAAATAAATGAGTTTTGTTATCTAACAAAGTGGATTTTAAGTCTAGACATAAAATCCATAAGTCGCCACAAACCTTAGGCAGTTACACAAGAGAGACCAGAATAAAAATTGGCTGCTTGTTCTAAGCAATCAAAAAGTGAAGACTTTTTATCAAGACAAGAGTATAAAGTTGAGTCATCAGCAAATAGAGCCACTTAAGATGTAAAATTTTCAAAAAGATCATTTTTGTAGATAAGAAACAATACAGGAGAAAAGATAGAACATCGTGGTACCCTTAAAGTTACTTGAAATGAAGAGTGTAGGCTTTCAAGAATAACATGCAGCTTGAAATAAATAATTTAATAATCTCAAAAACTTTATATAAAGAAACCAATAACAAAGTGAAGACTAATAATAGGTCAAGAGGTCAAAGTGTTTTCTAGAGTTTTTAAAAATTGGAACCTTTTATTTACCACTTTTTAATAGTTTAGCAAAAATTTAAGAGAGTTATGGAAAACTCTTTTTTAAGACTATGATGGAAATCTTGTCTTAAGCACAAACTGTAGAAGTAATTAATTTATAAATAACTTTAGTATTGGAGACCAGAGTGATTTAGATGTTTAAAAAGAGATTTATCTGTTTAACTGGTATGACTGGAAGAATATGAAAGAATGAGAACTGGTATGACAGGAAAAATATGGCCATTAGATTGAAGAGTTAAGTTAGAAATTAAGTTCTTTCTAAATAACTTTGCCCTATTATTAGGGAGAAGTAAAAAGATCAGATGCACATTTATGTTTATATAATATGGATATAAACATATATGTTGGTTATTTATTAAGATGCTGGCATACAATATCCTTACATATTATTAAAAAATTTAGAATTTATATGGTGTAGTGTTTGCCAAAAGAGAAGATGATCAGATGGATCAGTGTGGTGTGACTCTAACAAGACAAGAAAAGGAGACATAATCTTACAAAAATTAGAAAAAAATGTTGTATCGAAAAAAATTTGTTAGAGAAAATTAAAGTGATTTAAATATCAGCAAGCAGTAAGGTAGCAGCTTCAAGATTAAATGGTAAAGGTGGAAATAAGAAAACTTGAGAAGAGTGATGATGGCAATGATGATTATGATGATCATTAACTTTAAACTACACAAAAAATAATTGAGCAAACATTTTCTAAAAAACCATAAAGTTTTTTTTTTTCCACAAGTAACAAGATGCAGTTCACATGTGCCAAGTTGAGTATTTTTATCAATACACTATCACTACCTTCATTCAACCAAGAGCTCTAAAGCAACAGTATTTTAGGTCAGAGATAACCCTACTAGTCATAAAAAATATTTCCTTCAGCATCAGAATCCTGATTTTAAAAAAAGACATTAAAAATCTTGCAAGAATTCAAAAACTACAAAACTGATATGGATTTCATGGCTTTATCTATATTTATAAATGTTTATGTAGTTTTATCTAGATTTCATTATTAATCAAGAATTCAAATTCTATAACTACACTTTACTTTTACAAGACTAAATTATATAGTTTTGGCATCAGCAAATAGAGCTCGTTTTGAAGTAATATTATCAGAAAGGTTATTAATATAGATAAGGAACAGGACTGGAAATGAAACCTTTTAGTACCCAAGAAGATACTGGAAATGAAAATGGGTGTTTTCAACCAAAGACTACTTTAATATTATGATTAGAAATGATAATTAACAATATCTTTTTATTATTAATATTGCTATTTCAAAAACTTTCTGTTACAACAGTTAATGAGTCGGCAGCAGAATAAATTTACAAAATTTATATTGTCAGAGAGCAAGTACTGTTCGAAGAAACAGGGGGTTAGTTGATTATTTTAAAATCTCTAACAGCATTAATAAAGTAAATTGGCAAGTTTCAATAAATCAACTGCATTACTGTATTACTATCAACTCCAAAATACTACAGGAGCATTCTGAAATAATCAATACTCCATCATTATGCAAAACAAGATCAACATAAGGCAAAGAGAATTCACTAAATGAGGCAAAGAGAATTCACTTCATGTTGAAATCTATCTAAAGAAGTCTTTGAGTCAGATAATGTCTTTAAATTTAAAAAGAGTTTGAGATAAATAAGAATTTAGTAAAAATATTAAAGAGTCATTTGAATTTTGTAATTTAACTAACATCTGACTTTAAAAATCAGATTTGTAATTTTGTAATGAACTTATTTTCTAATTCAATTTTTTTTTTATCTTATTTTAACCTTTATTTTTCTTTGCTTTTATAAAAAAATTTATATTAAATTTGACTTTAATTTAAGAGAATGAAAACTGATAACAACAGAATTTAACTTTGTTAAAGTTTGAATTTAAAAAAAAATTTCAAGTGTCTAAATCCTTAAGAATAACTTACAGAATGATCCTAATGCTGAAAAATACACAAAAACAACATCTTTTTCACTCTTTGCTTGGCTAATGTATAACTTCCAAAAGTCAAGATTATTGATAATAGTTAACTGCTCTCTGTGTATAAAACTAAGAATGTAATAAGAAAAAATTAGAAAAAGTAATTAACAAAAACTAATTTAGAAAATGTAATTTATAAAAACCAGGTATAAAATATTATTTATTATTTAATATTACTTATCAATATAAAACAAGCAATTTAAAAATACAAATATGCACAAGGCTGAAAATCCTCAATACTGGATTTCACTACAATATTAAAAGGTTTTTTCCATGAGGATTCCCTGAGGAAAGAACATTTTCCTTTAGTTTAGCATTTTTTAAATTTTAACCTAATAACATTGCTCTATTCATCTTTCTGATTTTGTATTACATGAAAACTCTGAATGTCAATTAAACAATTTAATTCAAATTTCATGTTATCAAAAGCATAGTTCGATAATCCATGAATGACAGTTGCAATATTTGTTTACTTTCTTGTTACTTTAATGGAGGTAACAACAAGTTCCAAAAAATTTTGTTCTTCATTTTTTTTTTAAAGTTAAAAAAAAATGCGATTAATGATAATTAATAATGTCTGTAACTATTTAATTTAGTTTTTGAACTTACAAGGTAATTAAATTTAAGATTAAATTAAATTAATTTTTTTAGTTGATGTAGTGTTGATGATTTTCTCTTATTGATCTATTTTAAAAGAAACACTTAAAACAAGATAAATAAAAATCATTGCTTTGATATAATTCTAAACTGCCTAAGTGGAATATTCTTCACAGCAACAATGTTCGGAAAATTTTCCACAAAAATGGAGATTCTGAATTGAATAAGAAATCAGTATAACAAAGTTGTTTATGGAAAATCTTGTATAATACTTATGGTGTGTATAATACTTATGGAAAATCTTGTATAATACTTATGGTGTATTTCTTCAAAATAGGTTTTAAAATTTTTTGGAGACAGTCCATATTTTATACATGAACTGTAAAACTAGATGGATGTTACATTTGAGAATATTTAACAGTAGTCTTAGAAGAATTTTTTATAAAAAGTTTAAAACAATAATTTGGCAAAAATATTATTTTGGTGTTTTTTACTTTCATTATGACTTGCTGATTTCCCTATTTGATAAACTAAATATTTAGAACAACAGTTATCAAATTTATTAACTGCTTTTACAAGTCATTCTTCATAATATGAGTAAAACAGCCAATTTGAAAAACAGCCAACTTGAAAAAGATCAATTTAATTTTAAATAAAAAGATAGTCACCAAAAAATTATTAATATAACTCTAAAGAAACATTTTTGAATAATAACTAAATAGTTGCTATATAAAAACATATTATTTATATATAAAAAGGTTGTATATTAATTTGTATATAATACAGTTAAATATAATTTATTTATTCTACCTAGTATTTCCATATTAACTATCTAAGACAATATTAAACATCCTACTAAAAAGTTTTTAAAAAAATAGCTTAAAAATTAAAAATGTAAATTAAAATTAAATATAAAAATTTCATGAAAAACACTTTTATGAAAACTTATCAATAATGAATATATTCATATACATGATATAAATTAATTTTGATAAAAAACAATCGTACAAAAATTTCCATTTTTGTACAATAATTTTCCCTGACAACTCAATGCTTTTTTCTGGACATTTCCCAAATAACTATATATTAAAAAGAAACTGAGTTTTTCAGATTTTCCCTGAATTCATACTCTAGATTTTTAGGATTTCCAGATTGATTAGCAACACTGCATACATTATAACAAGACATAAACTTTAAAACTAACTAAACACACTTACTACAACAAATGAGCTTCAAATGCAATTGTATTAAACAAATATTTCATCTCCATAGTTTCCTCTTTTTCATGACTACAAACAAATAAATAAATAAGTGTTTAATGAGTTGATACTTTAAAATTTTAATCTATATTCTTACTGAAGCAGAAATTACAAACAGAAATCACAAAAAAAAAAATATTTTTTTCCTCCTGAAATAAATTTTCCATTAAATATATTTAATTTATTTAAAATTTGAAATTTATTTTCTGAAAATAAATAATGAAACTCCATTATAACTCCATTATATATTCCACAAAGTACATCTGCATTATTTTTTGGTTGTTTTACTTATTCAAAAATACACTGTTTTACAAAAAGTTATGTCAATATAATAATAGATGCCAACATCTAAAAAACCAAAAAAATGATTTTAATAAAAAATATAACTAACATTGAATAAGTAAGTTTTTTATATTTAATATAAAGCTTTGGAAGACATTTTTGTCTAAATTAAACTTAAATTTTTTACTGTTGTCAGAGCATTTGAAGAAGTAGGTTTCTATAAATCTAAAAATTTATGTGTTTCTTTATTTTTATGTGTTCTAATATCTATATGAATACTCATATACTTGTATAGCCCTTAATGCAGTCTTGAACTCAGAAAAATATTATTATTTAAAAAACAATTCCATACGAACTGGACATTATAATAACTGTGAAAAGCTATAAATATTACAAAATATGTTGTTGTAATTATATACTATGTTTTAAAAATACAATACACAATAATTCATTGAAACAACTATAGATGATGTCTGTTAACATTTTGATGGTTAATCTTTTAAATTCAAGACTTCAGAGATCTCCTTCACATTCAAATGCACAAATTTTGACACAGTTCTAGTATTATCTCTTGCAACCAGGCATGCTCAATTGCATCTTAAAGTGCATATATTGTTGTTGCTCATACAAGGGTAACTCTGGTTTTCACTATGTGACACAGATTTTTAATAATTTAAATAAGGGGAATTTGGAGGCAAAGAAATATAGTATTATTGCACAACCATGCCCAACCATATTATATAGTATTAGTATTATTACACAACCATGTCATGACCATATATATATATATATATATATATATATATATATATATATATATATATATATATATATATATATATATATATATATATATATATATATATATATATATATATATATATATATATATATATATATATATATTATATATATATATACACATATATATATATATATATATATATATATATATATATATATATATATATATATATATATATATATATATATATATATATATATACAATATATTTATATATATAGCCGGTTCAAGCATTTTTTTTGGTATATGTGAGACCACAGTTTAGCGCCCCCTATTATAAAAAAAGTGTATTTCTTAGAAATATTTTAAAATATTTTGAGAGTTTATTATTTTTGTGTGTTCTTAAATAGAAATAGAATAAGTGATACTAACATAACTGTTTCTTAAAAATTGTTAAATTAGAAAAAACTTCTATCTCCGCTGGCCACTGATATTGGATGCAAAAGCAAAATTTTCAATACTACGCACACATTAGTAATGATGTCAATCAAACAGTTTTGAAAATGTTAACAATGACAATGGAAAGCTATTGTTTTATCATATCATAAATGACGTCAATCAATCTATCTATCATTCGGCAACAATGCCGAATGATAGATAGAATGATTGACGTCACTTTATGCCATCAACTGTCAAAACAAAGTGCAAGTTTTTGCACTTTTCTTTAACTGCTGTTCACATTTATATATATATATATATATATATATATATATATATATATATATATAATATTTATATATATATATATATATATATTAGGGCTGTCCAAAAATAATTTTTTTTTCAGATTTGATTGCATAGTTGTTTATTTGTGCCATTTGACGTATTAATTAACTGTGCAAAAAATCTTTCCGATCAGATAATGTTTAGGGGGTGCTCAATGACCATAAAGTTTTACGAAAAATGTGAAAAACATGGAAAAAGTAACAAAGTTCCACAAATTTCTAAAACCCGGTTAATTAGATTTTCAGATTTGATCAGTTTTGAATTATCTCTAAATATAAATTCTGGAATACAAATTACAATCCACATCCACTTTATACTTGTTTATTAGCAGAGAAATTAATGAAATAAAATACTGCAATACGACTAAAGTTCTGCGGTTTTTGTTATATCAGAATTTTTCCAAAATAAAAACACTAAGATTTTTGACTCTTTGTCATTGATTAAAATACGAATTATAAAAAAAAAAAAATTATTGTAAAGGAGTAACAGTTTCTCAAACCGTTATCAACTACTAAGTAGGTCAACTCAAAAACATATGAGCAATTAACATTTAATTATCGTAATGTTTATAGTTCGTGCAATGTTAATGCTAGCGAGGACTATAACTCTTCAGAGTACACTTTCTGGCATCTGGCACTCGCTTTCTGTGATCCTCAACCACCTGAATTAACCTCTGCATTTCAGATTCATTCCTTGTAATCGATTCATTAAACATCGACATTAAAGCCACAGATCGTTCGGCAGCATCATTTACTACTTTCATGAATATACTAAATTTTTTCTTTCTTGGTATTCTGGGGAATCATTCCAGGTAGCTGGATCGTTGTTGAACAGAAAATCAATATCAACCTTCATGACCGCAACGCACTTGCTGAAACTGATGTCACCAGCATGTCCAGAGATTTCTTCTCTAGACTTTCAATGTTCTTTAATTTGATCAACCTTTCAGACCAGTTCTCACCGTGAAATTTCATGTTGGAAATCATTTTTCGCTTCTCTTCCGTTTTAAGTTTGTTGAAAACAAGCTAGTGGGACCAATTCTGGTGAAAGGTATCACAAATGGTTTTGAAATTTCTTGACTGCTGCATCGGAAATCGTTTTATTCACAACTGCAAACTGCTTAAGTTGCTGAAACAGAAACAAGTCATAACTGGAGCATCGCTGGCATTTGGGCATGATATCCAAGATTATACAATAACCAGACTAGCAAATAAGCAAAATTCACAGAGATTTTTTCACTTTTGTGGTCAACTTGAACTCTTCACGAAATAAATAAATCTTAAAACAATAAATAACCTTGGCCATCCAGCGAGCCATGTGATAAGCACCAGGGATCTTGAAATGATAATTTTTCTCTTCTTTGATCAGGGCAGTTTTCCAAGTATTAACAGACAGAGATCCATGATTTCTTTGTAGTCATCCCTTGGCATTTTAACATGCAGGTTTTCTTTGAGGAATGCCATCACTTCATTTTGTAGTTCTTGCACCAGGGGTATTTTCATTCGAATGTCATCCAGAGGTTTAAATTTCCTTGATTAACTTTGTGCCAATATTGCTGAAATCTCTGGAAAAGAGGTATGTTGGGACCAGATGATGGTCCAAATAGTGATCCAAACACTCCTGCTACTATGATCTCATGAACAAGGTGTCTGCAGAGCAAAATATAACAAATTTCTACCTATATGTTTCTCTAGAAACTTCACATGCACCATTTTCGGAGCCAGTGTTAGAGGCTGTAGTATCAAAACTCATTCTAATAACATCACCAATTATGTCCTAGAATATTAAGCAGATGAATAACTGCTTTGCTTGGGCTTCTCCAGTTCCAGCTGATAGTTTTGCTATTCCAAATATTTTGTCAACATTGTGACCTGTCACACCTACAGGTAGCCGGTCAACATTTGCTTTAGGGTCTGCAGAATTTGTACCATCTATCATCAGTTTGCCATCCCAGTGGACGATTAATGGTAGTTTGTCCAAATCGCAGAATTCAGTTCGAACAGTGGCTTCAATGTTTGATCGATGATAGGTTCGTTTTCTACAGACTGTAGAACATGACAATGATCCATCATCGAGGTTCTGTCCACCAACCCTTGCAATTGCTGCTGCTAGTATAGTAAATTTTGTGTCAGATAGATTAAT